GGTATTCCGTTCGGCGGAAGGAAACAAACTTGTCTAAATTGAGTGATAGAATCAAGTGTTTTCCCTCGAAATCGAACCACTTTGCATATCTCGTCGCCAGATGCTGGGTTGTGAATATGCTCGACATCGAACGTTGGGATCCCCTCAGGCCTTCTGTGCCTCGCCTTGGAGGAGCCACCCCTAGTTTGTCTGGGCATCCCATCCGACGTCCGTTCCGGGGGGGTGTAAGAGAGCGCCTGGGCAGTGAATGATGGGCCAGGAGGAAGTCGGAGTCCATGTCATGGCGTCGCGGGTCAGATCGCATACTGCGTATCTTGCGGTAGACTTGACAAGGGAGTGGCTGTTTTGGACTGTCTGCTTCTCCTGATCCTCCAGGGAGGGACGCTGACGACGATTGACTCTTCTCAGTATCCTCTCCTGTCCCGTTGTGTGCGTGCCAGCTGGACAAGAGGCAGCGGTCCCTTAACGGCAATGCACTAATGCCAGGTGTCGCAGGCATCGTGCAACCACTGCGAATCAGGGCCTGTCGCTTCCCATGCACGAAGCGTTCCAGCGAATGCGAGATGTGCCTGATTGGCCCCCAGGAATACGGGTCATGGGCCGGACCTTTGAGCCACCAAGTTGCCAGGGGCCAAGGGCGCGTAGAAGATTGACTAACGCCGCCTTGATCACAGTTGTAAGTCGTGCTCCTCTTAGCCCCTACTACTGCACAGTAAGTGCTCCGTAGTGAACCGTGACTGCAACCTGCAGCTTGCAGCCGTATCACGCCTCGTGGCCGAATATGGAGATGCTGCAGAGGTGATTGCAACTGCAGGGCCGTCCGATCTCGTTCAGTCACCGGGGTTTTTCTTTTTAGTTGCTTTTGTGAACCCAAAGAAGAGGTTGAGAAGTGGATGAGGTGTAAGTGCTTGCAGGCCGCCATACTAGAAATGGTCTGCCAAACCAGTCCACTGGAGCTGGGGTGAATGACGTTGAACTGTTTAAAATAGCATCTTCCGAAAATGCCGTTCTTTGCAGAGTGCATATGGGAGAAGTTAAGCGCCGGTGATATTTTTCTGATTGGGTTGACCCGGTGAACTGGCAACGTTGGCCGCCTCGGTGCGGGTGACATGTCGCCAGTTGGGCAGGCCGACCCGTCCGGACGTTTCCAACCAAAGTTTCTCCGTCCGTCAGATGGTATGCTTCATCATTCAACGACCAAAGCCCAGGTCGAACAGATGGGCGTCCCTCAAATTGATCAGCCCAGATCGAATCAAGGCACCGCGATGAAGGAGGCGTGTAGGTCATCTATCTGGACACTAGGCGGTCGTTATGGTATCACAATAGGTTGGACTCTGGAGATGGTGGGCTGTCTTTGGTCGACGAGGATCGGCAACGGAAACCGAAGGTTGGTGGTACAGAGTCTAGAGACCCCTCAGCCCAAGTCAAGACATCTGCGAGACTGCGGCGCAGACACGTAGGTTCGGCAGTCCGGGCTGTATTGGTACCAGCCTAGGACGATGTTCCTGCATGGGGAGTTGCATCCCACAGGACTGGAATTTGCACAAGACGGAGTGAGGTACCGCTCGGTTGATTCTGGCATATCATGAGGCCATCGTGGTGTGACGAGCTGTGTGAAGCGGCGAAGTCTCTTGCCAGTAGATTGCGCGGATGGCGGGGTCTGGCTTGAAGGAGGAGAAGAGGCCGCCAAGGCAGGGAATAGGTTCATTGACAGCTTCTTCGCTATTCCCCTTTGTGGTGTCTTGTCCGGGGGCATCGCTCATCTCATCCAGTCCTGGTTAGGACTTAGACAACCTTATCTGCAGCGGGCCCACAAGTGGTTCTAGGCGTCTGTAGGACCATCGCTGACTGGCGAAGGGCACTGGGCATCGATATCGGCAGTCGTGTCTGTGCAGTTGTCCAGAGTCGATGCTTAGCCTAGGTTAAATTCGCAATAGTTGATACAGTAAGAAGATTTGTCGGATTAGCAGGGAGGGAGAGAGAGTGTGTGTGTGAAATAGAGTCGGGGCATCGTGAAGTTGAGGGATCAGGGCCACTCAGCAAGGACCAGGATGCGTCAAGGAGAGACTTGGCTTCAGCCATCAGCCTCTACGTAGAGATCTAGGCATCCGATACTTGATGGCTCAACAAGCTCAGCCACACGTCGTTGACGTTTGACTAAGAAAGTAGCGTACCTGCCTCGCCTGTGTCCCGTCGGCAGCCACTGCCATCTCAACCCAGCATCCATGCCAGGCGTTCCTTCCTCCCGCCCATCAAAAAGAGGCACATTGTCCAAGTACGTATCTTGCCAAGAGGAACGTGATCCTGTCATGGTCGTTCTGGGGAAGGAACAAATAACCTAGGTACCTTATAATCGAGAGTCAGGTCCAGAATCTGTCTGTCTCTCCTTCCGATAATGGGAATAAGGTAGAGATGATGTAAGATCGCAGGAACAACGTAAAGTACAGGCAATGGTAGGTAGCAAGCAACGGCAAGCACGAGCCAGGACCCACGCAGTTTCTTCCAAAAGAACGAAAAAAGAACAAAATTGCAGTCTCGCTAGAATGACTTGCATCGACAGTGACAAGAGGATCCCTTCTCAGGACAACCCAAAGACCGAAGCCGAAAAGACCCTTTCCAAGGAACCCCCCAACTACGCATCGCCCTATCGTTATTAGACAGTAAGGTACATTACTGCGTACTTCGTACCCGTGGGCCGTAAGGTACGGATAGACACCGTGACACCCAGCAAAACCATCTCCAACTCTAATTATCCTTGCCAGTCCCAAGTCTCAAGAGTCTGCGAAACTCGCTTGTCCTTCAGGCTGTTTTGGAAGTCCCGTGCTGGCGTCCCCGCTGACGTGCTGTCTACCTCATGTGCAAGGGGGGCACGCTCTTCTTCTTCTCTATCCGTACCTACCTTACACTATCGTGACGTGCCTGTTTGCCTTACCAAGTCATGGTAGTGTATCTGTACGAAGCAGTAGGAGGTACGGATAGGGAGGTTAGGTATTCGTACTCGAAGGATCAACACTCACCTGCCAAGGTACCTTGATTTGGGTAAAGGCAACTTCTACTGTAACGTTGGCGCAGCTAGGGCAATGTCACTCTCCACATTCCTTTGGGTGTGGAACGACTTGCGACTCTGCCCAGACCACCAGCCACTTCGCCGCATGAACCAGACGTCAAGCCTGCGAACTTCACCTTGTTTTACTACGCAGCATCCGGCCGAGTTTGAGGGGTTCCCTCAGTTATCGAGCCGCAGGCCTTGCGTCTCCCGTCTGCTGGTCTAGGTAGTCTTCTGTCTAGATGTCAACTCTCTAGGCCTGCCCCTCGGTCTCAATACGCAATAATTCGCCTCAACCACATCGTATCTTGGCCCTAAGGCAGGCCAAGGTGATTCGACACAAAGTACTCAACACACAGACATGACCGCGCCATCGCAGACAGTGGCACCCATAACGCTCCGCTCCGAGTTGCTGCTTGCTCGCCCATCGACCCTCCACTCCCCTATCTTTCCTTCTCTTCCCAAGTGTCACAAGTCTGGGCATCCCTTTGAACGGATGAATCCACCCGTGACGCGGCAAGATCTACGCTGTCCCCGTCGTTCAATGCGAACCTCCACGGTCCGATGCCCGCATTGCAAATCTCAAGAGGGAGCTCCGGCAGGCACTTGCCATGTTCACCACCAGACAACTCTCACGAGTCGAGACACAGCTCTTCTTCGACTCTTGTTTCCCGAATCAGCATCTTCATCAAACACGTTTGCATCATAAACGTCGATACACTTTGGCGCAATGGCTTCTTTGTGGCACTCAAGGAGCCCAACTGACTTAACCTTCTGTCAATATCAGCCTAGACATGTCGTCAACGAACACTTCAACTCCCCTGCCGCCTCCGCCCCATATCTTTGGGGCTGCCTTACTCAATCTGCACGTACAGACCACCGCTTCTCGCATCCGATTTCAAGCTTGCCTACCGCCTACCTAAGCTAGTTTCAAACTCGGCCATCATCTCCACCCATCGACCCCTTTGCACGTATATGTCGGTCGCTTCCAAGTTCCCACTGGCACTGCTGCATCAGCCTCCTTGTGTAATGCCATCTGCGTACACGCCCTGACTACGGATAGTGGGCCTTATCACGGCAAGGCGGTCCCGGCGCCCCCCTGCGATCCAGCAAAATAAGGTAGCGCCTCTGGTCCATGTTCAACTACAACGCGTATTCGTCTCATCTACCACCTGTCACCCGCGCTCCGCCTCCTTCCGGTCTTCGATCGGTGGGGGGAATCTCCCGGAACCGTCGTCAGTGTTTCTTCTAACATGATCTGCGTCAAGCCCGACGCTGAAGCCATGTCTGTTGGTCTCCTCTGGCGTAGGCCTCTCTCCGTTTCCAAGGAACGGATGCTCCATCTCTCTGCTGGCCCATCTGTCCCATCTGTCCCATCGCCCAGAGACGATCAAGAACTCGGCGCAAAATTCTGACCGAGACAAGCCTTGGGAAGCTTGGCATACAGAGGTTAACTTACACGAGCCTGTGACAACGGATGGAAACCCGCAACCTTACCGAGACCCCAGAGTCCAAGGTAAGTGGCCCCGTCCCGCAACTCCAGGTCCGCGAATCTGTCTACCTAACCGAGAGTCCTTGAACCTCATCCTTGGGGCAGGCAGTATGCCAAGGCATTGGAGAGACTCAGCCTCAGTGTCAAACCCGACCATGGTGCGGTTCTTCGGACTCCTCACACCACAACCACAACACCCCCTGGCATCTTGCCTGTCATTGTTCTGGAAGCCGTGGCCACCGACCTCGACCTGAGGTAGCAGACGCAGTCCAAAATTCTACGTTCATCGCAAAAATCGTACGATGTTGTTTATGGTGGCTGCCACTCCACGTGTGGCTTTTGGTGATCATCATAAAGCCTATCCGGCTCATCAACCGAGCTCCCTAGCAAGAAACACTTTGAAAATCTTTCGTTGATTTCATGATCATTCTTTATACATCATCTGATGGCTTCCCGCGAAGTCTACAGCATACCTTTCTCGACCTCGTCCTTTCTCTCCTCCCACAGCGTCTTGCCGGTGCATGAACAGACCGTCTTATCATTGTCCCACACGCCGGCACTCCTGGCAATCACGCCGACCAACGTGTCTGGGTCATTTTTCAACGCCCCTGCAGACTCATCTTGTCTCGAGACAACCATGGCATGGCCAATAACTTCCCAGATTTGAAAAGGTTTGTCGAGATAGGCGCTACCTCTGCCATCCTTGCCGACGTTGAAGACGCCCAAGAACCCCTTGGCGGCGGCGATGTCTTCACTGCCTTCCGACCACACAGGGCCCGTCGATGATGCGCCCTCTGCCAGGTTACCATACTCACGGATTGTAGCTCGGTATGAGCCGGGGGCAACGCCTCGTAGCGTCATGTCGATCAGAGTTGTAGTCGGTGAGACCTGCACCATTCTAGCGAGGCCCCTGACCTCTCGGTCTCGCTGCTCATTCAACTTTGGAGATGCATCATCTGCATGGTAAAAAGACTCAAGAATGCTCACAGCCGCGCCTAAGGGATGTGTGGTGAGTCAGCGGTCAGATGAAGTCCGGTGTTACCAGGTGAGCGAGTTTGAACGACGAAGACAACCCAAGAATTCCCCATCTGCCGACACCAGTGCCGGTGTGACAAGACAAGTTGGGTGGTATCAGGAAACAACTTAATGTCCGCCAAGGGGTTACAGGAAATGCGGACAGAAAAGTTGGACTTGAATGACGAGAAAAGCCAAGGAGGGAAAGAAAGAGGCTTCGGTTGACCTACTGTTTGATCCTCCCGAGCCTCGCAGGATGGCGTCCCTCCCCGTGGCTTGGATGGCGTCAACAATTGTTGATGGTGCGGCTGCAAAACGTTGCCAAGAGCGTTAGCGGCAGGTACATACTAGATTCTTTCTTTTTATCAAACGGTAAGGCGTTCGTTTTTATGAGTCTATCCATCCCCCCATGACAGGTTGTAAGGCAGCGAATACAATTCTTGGAGGATCAACAAGATGGCGCCGTCAGACCGGCAAGCTTGAGAAGCCTCAAAGCATCGTGTGGGAGACGCACACACAGCAAAACCCGAATGGGTGTAAGACAGGGAAGGGGGGATGTGGACGGATTGGGTACTTGATTGACAAGATAGATCAACAGAAGAAGGAGAAGCGAAAAGGGAAAAGTAAAGAAAAGAAAGGGAAAAAAAAAGCTTTCAGAGTTTGCGGCAGAAGACGACGTACCTGTGCCCTCGACGGAAAGCAATTGGTCCTCGAGATTGGCCTCGACCTTGGTGATACCCCCCAGCTTGTACAACGAGTCTGAAACGTCCTTGACGCAGCTGTCACATGTCATGGGTACGGCGAAAACGGTCTAGTGTTGGATTTTCAGACGTTTCATTAGCCATTGGATTCAGTTGAGAGCAGTCAACACCCCCATTTTCTTGGTCTTGTAGGTTTTGTACGGAGTACTTGAACAGGTGAAAGGGCAATGGGTGGTAAATGGGCAAATGAGGAAGCCCGTGTATGTGCGTGCGGAAGAGAAATGGACCCCTTCTTCCTCATTCGCAGGTTTACCTCCACCCTGATCGCGTGCGTTCTGACGAGACGGTAGTGACGACGGAGCGAGCGGGAGAGGTGTGAAGGGAACAACAAGACTTCGTCTCCTCGGCCAGGTCCCGTGTCCGTGACGGAGACTTTGGGAAGGGCGGGTGGAACTGACTGGACTTGCCGGGCAAAGCGGGAAGAGAGGACCTGACTGGAGAACAGGTATAGAGAGAAAGAGAGAAACTGTGTTGAACTCACCTGAAAAGGATATGAGACGGTCATGGTGAAGGGTCGTCTGCTTGGCTGCAGCGGGCTTCGTAGCAGAGAGCGGTAGTTGTGGATGAAGTCGGGGAGGCAGTAGAGCATGCTCTGTCCTTGTAGGACCCTTTGTTGTTTGTGCTGTTGTTGAGATGAGAAAAAGTGAGGTCAGGTCGTTAAACTCCGGTAGTTTCCCGTTCCTGAAATAAAAAGAGAGGGATGGAGTTTGTCGTTCTCGGGGGAAAAAAAGAGCCCCAGGGATATGATAGTTTGTTGCGTGCGGGTTTGACTGTGAATCTCTCCCCTGCTTTTACAAAGTCCCAAAGGTCGAGAGTATTGCCAAGTAGTCAAATGTAGATTCAAATGGTGTTCAACTGGCGTTATCAATGGAATGATTTGTGCCGGCATATGCGGGTTTAATATTCATGGCCCATCGTGGAGTAAAGTTGTTTGTGAATATGGGCTTGCTTTGAAATCGTGCTGCCCCTCCTCCCACTCGCGGCCAGCGGACAGCGAGCACGGCGCAATTGGATCGCATCGCCTCATTGCTTTCCGTCGTCTTCTGCCCCGCCAAAGAGCGCTCGGGCCAATTTTTGAAGAGCATCGGCCCCAAAGTCGGCGCTCGGTCTCTGCAGCTGGGAGTAGCTAAACCAGCTGGCGCCATCTGGTGGCTCGAAAGCACTTCCGTCCACCGAGCTGATGGGATCTTATCATTATCATCACGTGAGGGCGCTCCCGGCTCCAAATTTTTGGCAGAAGCTCAGGGTCAGCCTATTGAATGGAGATCGCCAACGACGCCCAAGAACGCGTGACGACGACATCCCTTCCGAGATCCGAAGACGACGCTTCATCACTGGCTTGACCGCTGCCAGAACCTGCCGATTGACCACCTCGGTCCGCGAATACCAAAAAAGAGCGTCAACGTCGGCTGAGGCGGCCAGCCCAGAAAAACACATTTCAAGATGTCGCAAACCATCGGCCTGGTGAGCTTTCCCCTTTCCGAGCCTCCTTAATTGAATACACCTCTCCCTCAATCTCTCCGAACATTATTGCAACGGCCACTTTAGCTAACCCAAATGCCCAATTCCCCAGACGCGCCTCTCCTACTCCCGAGTATGGCACCAAATCTCCGCCTCGGCGCCCCACGAGATCCTCTCGACCCAGCCGGGCGTCACCCCGCCCTCGCTGGGCCGCCTGGCCAGCCGCATCGCCGTATTGCTGATGGGCAAGCACAAGCCGACCTGGGATCCGTCGACGGACTGCGGCGACTACGTCGTCGTGACGGACTGCGCGGCGCTGCACGTGACGGGACGCAAGAAGTGGCAAAAGACGTACTACCGACACAACACCCGTCCGGGATCCCTCCGGCAGGTGACGATGGACGTGCTGATGGAGAAGCATGGCGGCGCCGAGGTGCTGCGCAAGGCGGTGAGCGGCATGTTGCCCAAGAACCGGCTGCGGGAGAAGAGGCTTGCGAGGCTTAAGGCTTTCGAGGGGGAGGCGCATCCGTATAAGCAGAATGTGATCCGGTTCGGGGATGTCCCTGTGGGAAAGACTGGGTGGGAGGAGCAGATTAAGGCGATTCGGGAGGCCGATTCGCAGAGGATATGAGAGGGGGTTGTTGTCTCTCTTCATGCGGAACAGTGGTTGAAAAGCAGTAGGGGTCAAGGACATGAGCGAGATGTATAGTAAAGCCGTCTTCAGTCGGCGTGTATATTCTGTACGAATACGGGCATTCTCAAAAAAAAAAATCAAAATCGAAGTCCAATGGCTCTCTGCAATGTGACAGCTTTTCCAGTCGAGTGTTGGACCTCGGCTGCGGTTGATGTGATTTGGCTATGGGATGAGGAGCCCTACATGCTTGGAGTTAGGCGATCCACCAGAGACTCTTGAGACTTTTGAGAGATATTATACCGTGTTAAGGAGGTGCCGAAAATGTTCCTAGCTGAGCATTGGCACTTGATGAAGTATCGATATAGGCCAGAGGCAGAGGAGGATCAGGAGAAAAGGAGCCAGAGAGGTTAGGAGCGGTATAAGGGAACATACCGCTATCCTTTGTAGACAGGCGTGCTCCGTCGAGGACGATAATAGCAACAATATGAAGACTTGATCCTTCAATATTTTGCTTGCTTTCACGTTGCTTAGGATCTTGCATAGCAGTGGGTGGAATCGCTCCCAAGTTCTGCTGCCGAGAGAAACAAGTATTGCTTGCTCATCCAATGCTTTTGATACATCCATCTGAGGAGCTTACATGCGCTTGTCATTTGGACAAATTATCTCATGATTGCCGCGAAGTGCCAAGTATCTCTCGAATCTCATAATATATGTGAAAACTTGATGGAAACGTTGAGTGCCTTTTACTTTTGTTCAGCTTGAAGAAAAAGAGGGAAACGCTCACCAGGATACCTGTCTCAAATGGAATTGAGAACCAAGTAACAGTTCGAGTATATGTATCATTTGCGGGACAGATTGTAGAATGGGGACGATCATTGAGAAGCATGACGCCTTCTCGGGAAATCTGTATATGGTATGACGGATGGCTTTGTTAAAGCTCTCCGTCTTGCTCAAGTCCTAGAACACTTATGAGGTCAAATGAGTGTATCGATCAAGTCACAGTGAATTCTTCAAAAGACAATAAAACTTGATGGGTTATCATATTCTTAGTCATTGCTCATTATTACTATAAAAAAACACCCGGCCAGGCTTGACCAGGTCATGGACGCCGGTAAATGCAAGTAGCGAATCTCGTTGGATTCTCATAAGAAAGCATCCTCTCTCATCCACAATCTACAACCCCTCATCTCACTCACTTATCCACTCACTTAAGCTTGCCGCTTACAATTTGGCAGTCTCGGGCTTGCGGGCGACCTCGCACTTGATGAGACCGTTGGGACCAGACTGCGGTGCGTAGACCTCGGCGTCCTTGCCCGTGTTCTTGAGCCCCTTGTGCCAGCTGAGGTCGATCTCAAAGTAGTGCTTGTTGGGCAACGAGTAGGTGGCCGTCAAGGTCTCGGGCACGGCGGCGAGGATCTGCTCGCACATCTTGTACATTGTGTTTTGCACGCTGGCGCTCTCGTCCTCGGCAAAGGTCTTCATTGTGATGTCGCGGGCGGCGCGCCACGCTGGGTCGAACTTGGGCACGGCGGCGCGGACGGCGGCCAGGTCCGGGAACTTCCAGGTCCAGGCGGCGTCGACGTCGGTGGAGAGGATGCGGTCCCAGGTCTCGGGGAGGGTGGTGTACTCGTCGCGGACGAAGCCGTGGAAGGCGGAGCCGGTGGACTTGAGGACGGTGAGCTTCTGGATGGCGCTGGTGAGGGCGATGCCGTCCTTGCGGGAGATGCGGGCCTCGACGTTGCGGGTCTCCTCGCCGTCGCGGAAAAAGGAGTGCGGGTGCGGCTTGCCATCGACGGTCATGCGGGTCCAGCGGTGCTGGATGATTTTGACGTTCGCGGTGTGGATGTGGGCGTAGGTCTCGAGGAAGTGGGCGCCGAGGATGGAGGCGAAGAGCTCCGGGGGGTTGACGGGGTTCTCCTTCGCCTTGATGTAGGTGGTGTTTTTGATGGAGTCGGTGGCGACGACGACGCTGTTGTCGGCGACTGTGTACGAGGTCTCGATCTCGCCCTCGAGCAGGCAGCAGACGGTCATCTCGGTGACGGTCTGGACGTTGCCGTTCTTCTCGACCTTGTAGACGCGGACGTTGTCCTTGCCGTAGCGGGCGGAGGCGAGGTAGGCGGCCATTGTGAAAGTGGTGTGTGGATTTGAGAGGTTTGAGAATGGGAAAGTGAACAAAACGTAGGGCGTTTGGGGTATCACAAATGAGATTACTGGTATCGCAAAGACGAGATAGGCTGAGATGTCGTTGTGAGATGAAGATCGAGGATGAGAGCAAGGTGCCAAGTGAACCAAAGCTCAAGAGAGACTGCAAGCAAGCACTGATAAGGAAGTGGTTGTTGGTTGATGATGATGATGATGATGAGACAGAGGACAAGATCAAGGTCACAAGAGAAAAGGTCAGAGGGGGGACGATAGGCTTTATATCAACATCCAAGAGAAGAAAACGGTTGAGGTTCTCACTCTCAGATTAGCTTCGTTGGACGTCACCCACCACAGACAAGAGCCGGGCCGGAGATACACCAGCAAGCAGCACAGATAGCATAGTCGCGTCTTGAACCGGCACGCAATGTTCGCGCTGTGCAAGTGTGGAAGCTTCTGCTTGTACATACCGGTAGGTGCTAGGATGTACGTACTTACTGTGTAAGGGTGGCCCCGTGGGTCGGGGGTGCCAGTGGGAAGGGTCACCAAAGAGCGGCCCAATGGCCTGGCCGAACTGACCCGATCGCTTGATAGGGTCCGGCTGCCGTGGGGTAGAATGGTCTTATTGGAGCTGGGTGGACACCCCGGAGCCCGCCGATGCCCTTTGGACGCTGGGCAGGCAAGTCGCCGCATGCAGCCGCTGTCTCCCTACGGCTGTCTGCGCCAGGGCGGGACCGACAATAGTCGCTCTGGGCCGTACCTATTTGCTAAGGTACCTCAGCTCCATGAAGCAAACGC